CTGCGCCTTCCGAGTGGAGGCTGCTCGGGCCGTTCCGAAGACCCACCACCCAGCTGCGTGCCAAGGTCTCCAGCCTGTCGCACAAGATCCGCGCCGGGAACCCGCAGCGTGCAGAGGCCGCGTGCGCCCTGCGCTCGGAGGTTGAGGCTGTGTCCCTAGGCGTCCCCCAGGACGTGGCCGAGGGCGCCACCTGCCAAGCCTATGAACTGACAGACTACAGCAACCTCCGAGAGACGGATATTTAAGGACCCACGAGCTGGGCTGGGGGGCGTGCTGGGGAAGGGGGTTAAGGTGGGGCGAGGCTGAGGACGTGGGAAAGGGAGGCTGGCTTTGTTCAAGAGGCCCTTGCGGATCAGGGACCGGAAAATTGATCAGAGCGGCTGCTCTCTGGCAGCCCCGAGGAACTGAGGCGGGGTGGCGCCCTGAAAGGATGGAGTTATGTGCCCCGTCCTGGACACAGATGCCCCAAGCTACACCTTTCCGAGGGAGGGCTGCGGACTCCGTGGGGCCATTTGTTCCCAGTCCTTGTTGGAAAAACACTGCCCCATCCATGCCCTGAACCCTGGGTTAACAGCCCCAGATATGGCTAGGGAGGCCTGCTCCTTCTCTTGGAGAGAAAGGGGCCCGGAGGCCATGCATGGCTGCCCTAATGCCTCTCTAGGAAAAAGTCTTTGGGACCAGGGCTTCTCAACACAATTTCTCCTTACTGCCGGCTGGAGGAACCGTGAAGACCTGCCACGGCCACCCACAAGCTTTGGTGGCAGATTGGATGACCGTCCTACAAGCCTGTTGCATTTACCCGTGGGCCCATTTCCCCTACCGATGTTCCTACACGCGCACCACATCACCTGGCCTTGCCCTCATTATGTTCTCAAGGGCCTTATGTTTACACTCTGTACATAGCTTGTTGTGCCTGTACCCATCACCTCTCTCTGGGATCTGGAGCCGTCAAATGGGGAAAGCTTTATTTGTCATTTTGAGACATATTTATTGGTAAGAGTACTTCTATTTTGTCCTAACTGTGCAAATTGTCCCTCTTTAGCTTATAACCCATAAAGAACTACTTTTCTTTTTTCTAAATTCTTTCAAGTACTAAAGGCCCACAACAAGATAGACTGGATATGCATTCACCTTTCTAGTTTCAACTTAACCACCTCTTTAACTGATGGCTGCTGTCCTTTGGGACTTTTAGCATGACCAAAAGACTGGGGTGGAGGAGTTGTTGGCTTTTAAAATTGACATAATTAATCTTGAGAAGCAAACAGTAATCATAAGCACAAATTTTTATTTTGTCAGTCTCCCCAGATGTATCTGCAATGTACTGAGGGCCTCAGTGAAGAAGGCAGCCATCAGTTAATGTGTGAAACATTCCAAGAAAAAATATACAAGCCCAAGTAGACAGATATATATGGAGAATGAGAGAACAACTACCTAGGAACCATGCTTGTTAGCTTTGAGTAAAATGTCCAACACGACATATTCCCAAGAGATTGCAGGTAGTTCGGTCTTCAGCTGGATAAGATCAACTACATACATTTAACCAGCATGGGAGTGATGACTATGGACACTTGAAAGGAGAGCTGGTTAGACAATACCCTGGGGTGTCTGGAGCGGGCGTGTTCCAAAACTGGAAGAGCCAGTTGCTGGGACCAGTATTTTGAGCCAAACTTTCTATCTTGTACTGGGAAAGTAGTCTGTTTGAAAGGTCACCACAATTTCAGACCCCTCAACCCAATTTTCTAAGGTAAAAAGGCAGCCAGCACTGGAAAACTAACCTTTCACACTATGGGTCTACATCAGGTTCTGGACTTTCAGGCCTGGCATCCCCCCGAGACACAGGAAGGGCAGTTTCAGGCAGGTGCTAGGAGTATGTTGCATACTCAAAGACGGCCCCACTTTGCAGCACGCTGGCCACCCTAAAGCTGGGGGCACTGGAGGACGGCCCTCAAGGTCTTCTCGCAGATGAGAGCCATCAGTAAAATCAGGGGCCAGCGAAGGCACAGACCCCAATGTCAGAGGATTGAATACTGGGCTCCTGGGCAGGGGTTCGACAGCAGGGCAGGGGATCTCTCAGCAGGGTGAGTGTTGGATCCCATATGCCAGGGCAGTTGAGCTCCCAGGAAGTCAACGGTGGAAGCAAGGGAGCAAGGCAGGGAGGGAGTCTCTAGCAGGAGGATTTTAGACGGGGCTTCTTTGCCCCAGATAATGGTGAGTGTGGAGGCTGGCAATGCCAGCAGCTTGGCCAGTACTTTCTCTAGGCACAATGGTCAATCAGCAAAACACACCTGATGTCCAAGCTTCGGCCCCCCTCTCCTGGGCACAGAGGCCCTCTGCTTACAGTTCCCTCTTCCTGTACCCCAAAACAAAGTACCAAGCCTTCATGAGATAGGGGAGGACTGCAGAGCCCCCAGAGAGGCCTGCCACAGAGGGGCATCCAGGAACCAGGTCGTATGTTGCTGAGTTGCTGACCTTGGTCTCAGGACATGCCAAAAAGTCAGAGTGGCCAAGAGGAATAGAGGGAGTAGAAATAGCCCTTCTGGAGAGGGGAGCTCTTGCAAGTGATTTTGGGCCATCTAGAAGAAGTGCATTTACTGGGTCCTCAGGTCCCCAGGTCCCCAGCTTGGCTCACATATCTCATTAAAGACTGTCCCTGCAATGCATATAAAAAAATGTAGCTGTTGTCTCCAGGAGGCTCTTCTGAAATGTCAAGGTGACTGGGGAAATAGGGGAGACTCTCTCAGTGCCCATCAAAATGGGAGTAAGAGTTCCTTTGCACAACCCTCAAGAAATGAGGTGAGGCCTGAGGGAGTCTGTTAGTGGGAAGGGGATGGTCCTGTGAGATGTGACAGCGATGAAAGCAAGCCTCCAGACATTGGCATTTGCCCAATTGCCCTCCCCGCCCCCATCCTTCTTCCCACCCAAACCCTCCAGCTCTAGTCCACCCTCCCTCTCAAGCTGGGCTCTTGCCACCCATCTTGCTTTGCTTCCCACACTCTTTTCAGGACCTCTGTCCTCAGCATCCCACAGGGCTGCTTTTGCAAGTCACCTGGGACTTTTCATTTCTCCGATTTCCTCCCCTCTGTCTCTGCTGCAGTCCACACTGGTGGCCACTCCTGCTTCCTGAAATGTTCCTCTCCTTGCCTGAGCCACACCCCTGGGATCTCTTTGGGTCCCCTGACCACATACTCTCTCTCGGACTCCTGCGCAGGCGCCCCTCTCTGTCCTATAAATGTCCCTTAGGGTTTTCTTCCTTTCTCAACTTTCCACACAATCTCATCCACTCCAAATCATCTCAATTTCATACATAAATGGCTCCCAAAGATCTGTCTCTAGCTCCAGATGTGTGCTCATTCTCTCCGTGGATGATCCCTAGACACCCCAAATACAAGCCCACTCACCTTCTGCAAAGCCATCTCTTCTACTCTGTGCAGGAACGACAAGGCCACTGGTCCTGAGGCTTCAGGCTCCCTGAGGCCCTCAGCCTGCCCATCTTCTCCACACTTCATCTTCTTCTCAAGACCTTCCTAGATCCCCTGCCCAGAACTAAGCCACAAGCATCACTCAGCCTCCCCGGTAACTCACACCAAGGTCACCCTGGCCTAGAGTCCACTGATAGAATTCATATCTGCCTCCACCAGGGATAGACGGCTCTCTTTCCCCAGCGCTGCTCAGGACTGGGCATGAGTGTTCATTAAATATTGGGCCTGTGGATCCACTGACCTTCCCTGGGATACTGCCCCATTGTCAATCTGGTAGCTGGCTCAACATCACTGTCTTTGCAAGACCCTCAACCTAGCTGGTCCCACCAGTCCTCAAGGGGTGAGCATCTGCATGCTCCCCGAGCCAGAGAGCCAGCTGTGACCTGGATTTCGGCAGGGACACCTGCTCTACCTGTCCTCCAGCCCAACCCTCCCACCTGGAGCCCCATCTCCCTGCAGGCTCTTCCTCACCACCGTTGCTGACAGGTCCTGAGGAAAGGTTTGGGACTTTGGTGGCCCTCCCCTCGGTGACCTGTCAGAGCTCTGACTCCTCAGTGCCCTCTTGACCCTGTTTCTATTCTCATCCTATTATACCCCCAGGGGGTTACATGTTCACGGTCCACTTGGAAAGAATTTTCTTTCTTTCTTTCTTTTTCTTGTGGCTGCAGGGCTCGAGTTGCTGACAGGTCCTGAGGAAAGGTTTGGGACTTCGGTGGCCCTCCCCTCGGTGACCTGTCAGAGCTCTGACTCCTCAGTGCCCTCTTGACCCTGTTTCTATTCTCATCCTATTATACCCCCAGGGGGTTACATGTTCACGGTCCACTTGGAAAGAATTTTCTTTCTTTCTTTCTTTTTCTTGTGGCTGCAGGGAAGCACAAAACCAGATGCTTGTAAAGGCTAAACCGGTCCCGTAGCCTCTCAGCTCGGAACAGTTCTCTGGGGAGCCCGGTGGGCCCAGGTGGTACTGGGGGTGGAGCCTTTGGAAAGGGAGGCTGCACTCACTCTCCTGCCCATCTGGGCTGGCATTTCTTCCCTTCCTCCATCCACCCCTTGCCAGGAACAGGGAAACAAAAGGAATGCTGAATAGGACCCCAGCCTACATTCTCAAATTGCTCTGGTCTCGGGGAGAATGTAGTGGAAATTGCAGGAAGAATTTGAAATCAAGAAGAAATCCAGGAACTGGGGCCATGACAGGCTGAGCTTTCAGAGCCAAGGGCTGGAGGGAGGGATGCAGTGGGGGTGGCCCCAGAGACCTCACCCGTAACACGTGTGGACGTTCCTTCCGGGTTTCTCCATTCACGTGACCCTCCCCTCCCATGCTATGTCCACCTCCTTCTGTCTCGTCGAAAACCAAAGGAGTCCCAGGTCTTATTTCTGAGAGAGAGTCCAGGTGGGTCCCACTCATCTTTGAACTAAACTATATAGGCTGGACATTGTCCAGCCTATGGATTGGCTAATTTGGGGACAAGGTTGAGCAGCTGGGCAGGCAGATGGGCATGGGGTAGATCATGTGGTATAAAACACAGCTGTCTGGGTAGCAGGGTCTGGGCAGAGTGATTCTCCTAGATGGGGGAGTGGTGGGGCAGGTAATGATTGACATCTTTAGCACACTGGCTCCATTGAGAATGTAGCTGCAAGTCGTAAAAAGCTGATCAATGGCTGTTTCAACATGGGCTATTAAACATGAAGAGGATGTACCGTGGAAACAGGCAGGATACACAGGGAGGGAGATCCCTGGCCCTGGGGACCAAGCACCATCCGTGGTG